ATTGGGAAAGAGGTGATTAGCATCAGCAGTGTAAAAGCAGGAAAGTGAGTCTGCCCTTAATAACATCTCATTGATAGAATTTAAATTGGATGTTAAATAACCATTACCACGGCTGATTGCCTGGCCTGCCCTGGAAAGTGAGGAGGCTTTCTGCCAAAGCCGCTCTTCTTCAGATATGTGAAATTGGGGTGAGATTGAATTAGAGCATGGACAATTAGAGTGGTACCATCAGCACCTTAACATAAAAGTCGGTGTGGGTGGGTTTGAGTGTTTTAGAGTCCTTCCGTATCTTTCTCATTCCGACCCATGTTTGTCACCCACCATCCCTCTAAATGAACATTTCTGATGGTGAATAGTGATCGAGTCAGTGGTGTATGTTTCATTTGAACATCAAAAGACATGCTCTGTGGAAGGGGTAAAGTTAGAATTAGGATATGTTCCTCAACTCTCTGCTGTCTGATTCAAAAGCAAAGCAATCAAAATAAACAGTTAGAGATTGAATCGGTAAATAGAAGATCTGTCAGTTTGCTCCTCACATCAACTATATTATGATTGAGGGAAGAGTTACTCTGGTCATGGCTACCCGTAGCATAACGCAATTCAATTAGATGACAGAAATAATCGAAGAAAACTCAAGAAACAACTCCTGTTTTTACTCATTCCTTCCATTATCTCTTTAAATTTGCCATGAAATCAAAATCTTATTTTTTTTACACACTACATTCAACAAAATGACAAAGAAAAAAAAGAAAAAAAGATTTGTGATAACTTTGCAAATGTATTAAATAAAAAACTGAGATTTCACTTCAACATAACTATTCAGACCCTTGATGCTGTAACGAGTTAGTTTAAAATGTGTATATATATAAACAAATTATATATAATCTTAATTATGTAATTTAACAAATTATAATTAATTATAAATTTTTGAATGTTTTAGAATTGACTGTAGCAGAATTAATATTACAATTATTTAATCAGTTCATCCAATGAACAGCATAATCGATTATTCATTTAGGAAATAAATTATCTTCCTGGCCAAGAAAGAAAAACTTTTTCCAGCTAAAGTAAATCAGGTACTAGCAGTGTAATAGCATAGGTTGCTAGATCAAGATGTTTAAGTGACTTTGATATTTTTGTGAGTGGCAAACACAGAGAAGTGTGAATATAAAGGTTTAATAAACAAAAATACAGTAGGCTACACACACAACTAAACTAAGCAAAGATTGTATACAGAATCAAAAAAGTAAAGAAAAGTGAAGAGGGAGAAGAAAAGAGAATGGCAAGATTACAATCAGTTAACCACAACCTACGAGAAACATCAGAGAATCAGGGTCACCTTAAAGGGGCACAATAACGTAGAAACGCATCTAAAGGCTGCGAACGGGTACTTGCATTGGTTTTGGTTGCTGAACAAGTCCAGATGCAGTAGATTCTTGAGTTTCTTGATTATTTTTTGCCAGGAGTGCGCTGAAGCGTTCGTTTGGGTTCTTGGGGTGGTCCACGTTGAATCCAAAGAAGTTAACTTGAAGATGAAGTTGCCGGAAGAAAACAGGAGGATGTTGTCTCAAAGAGATTAAGCAAAGATCTGAACTAATCAGACACTTTTAAAGGTCCTATCAGTTCACACCCATTTGGTGAGGTGACCAATCAAAGATGACCTGGAGAAAGTATTTGTTCCATCTTATCTCCATTTGCATGTTCATGGTGGCATGGATAATTTGTGCAGTCTTAAAACAAAAGTATGTTAAAAATATCCTGATGCAATTTATCATAATATTGTACACAATTGATTATAAAATCAAAAGAGGATTATTTTGATACCAAGGAAGAGGGGATTTGAAGACATTAAAGCAGTGATGCATCATCTTTGGATATCAACATTGGAAGGTACTCTAACATAACTACAGAATCATAACTAGTCATAACTATTAAAACATAGGGACATGCATAAAACACAGGAGAAATACTATAAACATTTGAGAAAATTTGTGGATATGAATGGAGTAAATGTCCTTTTTGGAAGTTTATCTCTATAGTCTTTGACCAAATGGCTAGTGCCGCCTGGTCTCTTTGCTGTCTTGAGGGTTGCAGACACAGTCTCTTGCTGAGATCGTTCAGGGGAGCCGAGGTGATAACGGCCTTTGAAGAGAACTGGTTTTAGGGCCGATGACAACAGAGGAGAGGGGGAAGGTTTTCTGATGACAATGCTTTGCACAGGTGATGAACTGTGCCTGGTTTCCTCCAGACATGACGCTAGGAATTAAGGTTCATCAGACCAGATAATATTGTTTCTTACAATAGCAACTACATGATCGTTTGCTCTAAAGGCAACCTATAGAAATGTGCTCTATTATTAGGCACATAGCCAAGTGTTCATGCAGAGTTTGGTATAGCGCGCTTACTGCATGACATGGAAGCGCCAGCGCAATCACTTGCATTTTTCAACTTAAAATACTCCGTCATTTTTGGTCATACAGATAAGAGTAATACATCATTCCAAACTGTAAAGTGTCTTCCTGAACTGCAGCGTGTCTCATAAATGAACAGAAACTCAGTGTATAGGGTTTTTGCCTCACAGATATAGATATATCTATAGAATGCTTATAATGTATACTTTTAAATTAACCAATTCAAATCAAAAAGAAATACTCTGATAATGTAATCTGTATGAAAGGCGAGATCACTACTGCGGAGATGACGAGTTGGCATTGTCCACTTCATCTTTGCAGCCGACATTGATTCAGAAAACACTAATTTATTAATAAACAATTAAAATGTCACCTTGCTATTTTTCAACACATTCATAATGATTACTTTTGCCAGCGCTTTTTCAGCAAGCTTTATGTGTGCGCTATGTTTTTTGCATAATGCCACATAAATTTGCAAAAAATAGAACTAAAATGCCACTAAAAAAACTATTTCAATAAACCAAATGTATTTTTTTTTTTTTTTTACTTAAGAATAAGAAATTATTAAAATAAAAAAACTATTAGCAAAAAGCAGAAATGCGGCAGAAAGGTATGGTATGGGCAAGGCAAAGAATACTCAGGTAAACAGGCGCTGATGGTCGGGGCATGCAGAGAGATAACAAAGTACAGGCAACAGTCCAGGGTCGTGGAAACCAGAGAATGATCAGAAAGCCAGGAAACAGTCCAAGGTCGAGGTAGCCAGAGAGTGGTCGAAGATATCCAGTAGACAGTCCAAGATCTAAACCAGTAAAACAGAACACGTAGATAATTGCTCAGAATGTTAGCTGGGGCAAAACAATACTTCGCACTGAGTGATAGCAAGAGCGTGATTATATGGGTTTGGGAATGAAGTGCAGGTGTGTGTGATCAGTCCAGGAGAGCTGCATTATGGGAACTGTAGTTTGCATGGCAACAGTCAGTACTCTGGAGACGGATCCCTCCGTGGGTGTGGAGGGGGTGACGCAGGAAACTCCTGCGTAACAGTGTGTGTGTCACCCCTTCATATCAGCATTTGTTCTACATTTCTGATTTTGTTTTACAAATTCTATACAAATGTTGTCTGTTGCAGTCTCACCTGGGGTGTATTCCAGAAAGCAAGTTATGTGACATACCCGGGTATGTTTAAGAGTAAGTAAGCCGATAACCTCAACTTTCGGTTCCAAAAACGGAGGTAACTTTCAGGGTATGTTAGTAGTCATAGCAACTCACTCTCTAAACTTAACCTGCTCCAGAGCAGGTTATGTTCCAGGGTTAGTTTGTTTCAGAGAGGTGATGGAGCATGGCGTGCCCTTTTGAAGACAATCCAGTTGATGTGGAAGCACAGATAATACGAAATCTTTTCCACCATGAGAGGGTGATACGACCACATATCGATGTGTTTTCGTATCCAAATGAATATTTGCGGGAGCGTTACCGTTTTTCAAAAGAATCGTTAATTTATTTATAACGAAGATTTTGAAACCGTACATAGCAAACGTGACATCGCAGATTAGCGCTTAACACGGAGCACATTTTGTGCATTGCCCTTCGTTTTTTTGCGACGGGGAGTTTTTTGTATACAATAGGCGATGCAGAGCATGTGGGAAAGGCAACTGTGTGTAGGGCTGTTCGTACAGTATGCATTGTACTCAAACGGTTCCTACACACTTTTGTGCAGTTCCCTGGCCATAAACCACTGAGGGTCATTAAAGAGGAATTCAACAGAGTGGCGGGTTTGTCCGTTCTATGATATTCTATGACAGACCATTTTAGTTACATAGCACTACTTAATCTATCCATACTGTATACAGTCACAATCATTTTAAATGTTTCTAATTATATAACTTTCAATTTCAGGGTTCCCAAATGTGATTGGGTGCATTGATGGAACCCACATTCCCGTTAAAGCTCCTTCAGTCAATGAAGGAGACTATGTTAATAGGAAGTCAATCCATAGGATCAATGTGCAGGTGACAATATATTTTTTGGGTGCCAAATGTTTGGGTGTTTAAACCATTAAATCACCCTCATTACTGGTCCCCACCAACTAGGTAATATGTGATGCAACCCACCTCATCACTAATGTTGAAGCCAAATGGCCAGGGTCTGTACATGATGCCAGAATGTTTAGGGAGTCGTCATTGTGCCACAAATTTCAACAGGGTATGTTTTGCCTTACACAATGTTTTTTTTTTTTACGCAATTATACACTTTAACTACCTTTATAGGACACTTCAATGGTTACTTGGTGGGGGTCAGAGGTACCCTTGTCTGCCCTATATGATGACACCCTACCCTGAACCTGAGCCTTGGACCACAGGCATCCTGAAGGCGAGGTTTCAGTGCCTGTGTGGGCTCAGGGTCAGCCCAGAAAGGTCATGTGACATCACAGCTGCTTGTGTTGTTCTTCACAACATTGCCACACTGAGAGGTGAGAGGGCCCCCCCCCCTTCTCTTGATGAAGATGGCTTAGAGGAACCCCCAGTGAACCCAGTAGACCAAAGAGATGGCAGGGTGGTACGAGACATGATTTGCCAAAATTTGCCACTTTAATTAAAACCAGTTAACAGTCAAGTGTTGTTCATGGTTTCTTTATTTCCTGTAACAAAAGACATTTGTATTTATTGCTTTAGATTTCATTCAACAACAAATGACAGATTAATGTTCACATACTGTTTCCCACCTTAAGCTGGTGCTCCAGCAATTCAATTTCAAGTCTGGCCTTTTTTTAGGTTAAGCCTTTTCTCCTCCATTTGAAGCTGTATAAGATCCATTCATGTCACTTTTTCTGATTTGCTTTTGAAGGTGGACCTTATACAGCTCTTTGGCAGGCAACTAGAAAGACAGAATAATTAAACATGACTGAAAAAGTCTGTAATATAAACACAGACCAAATATTTAAATGAGGAAGGAGAACCGCAGAACATTTCTTACACTGCTAAGATTCTGTATGGAGGTAGATGGACCCTCATCTGTATTAAAATCTCCTGCCATATTCTGTAAAATGACAATGACAATTTATTTATTCTCTTATGTAAAAAAGGGGGAATGCATTTTATGCATCATACCTCTATGGGCCTCCCCACATTTTCTGTTTCTGTCACAGCAGAAGTGGTCTCTTCATCGTCATCCTACAGTAAAAATAAGGAAGGATGCTTGGTCTACCAAACAGAAACCTAAAGACAATAATCACTTACAACTGTGACAGAGTGTGGTGTTGCAGGAGGATCCAATAATACAATGTGGCCATCAGCAACTGCAAGATAATTAAACCAATAAGATAATCATGCATATTCAATACTCAATGTATATTCTTAAACAAATACAACTAATAAAGAAGGACATTAGGAACATCTAAGAGTACTAGTAATAAGATTATAGTACAGCATATGCAGTCAAAGCAGCATGCATACTGCACAAGTGAATCAATGACTGTAAAATGCATTCAAAATGCCTTTTTAAAATGGTGACAGTGTTGATAATTTTCTTTATTAAAACACTGACAAAAACAGTGAAAACATCAATAAATCATAAGTATTAATATGGTACACCTACATTTTACTAAGCCACTTGTTTTGGTAGCTGAGTCTGACGAACTGCCCCCTGGAATCCCATCGACCACAGGTCGCCCTCCTCAGCTGGGGTGAGGGAAGGTGGAGGTGGACCCCCACCTGTTTTACGGGCCTCAGCCTTCTTTCTATTGGCTACATAGAAAACTAAATTACATTAAATACTAAATTACATGGCGTCAGTAACAAGTTTAGTAAGTTTAGAAAATATTACTTTGCTGGAGAATGTTTTTGTGTTTCATTTTGACTTGGCTCACACTTCTTCTGGCTCCAGAAGGATTACACCTGATAAAACAAGAAGCATATAACTAGCCAATTATGTGCATTACTACTGTAATATTAAGAAATGTATGGAGGCCAACAAGTAAATACTTACCTATTTTTACTACTTTTTTTTTTTTTTTTATTATTATTTTTTTTTTTATTGAGATAACAGTAAAGGGGAATACAGAGACATTTGAATCCGTAAAACAAAAAGATCACAATTCTGCATCTTATATCACATATCAATCATGTTTCTAATACATTAAGTATCCTTTTCAACAGTTTTGATGTCTTTAGAGCTTTTCGATTGTTTTGTATTGAAGTTAGAGAGTCATAAAAAATCTTCAGATCAGTGGAAAATAGTCTAACATTTGGTACAGTCAATATACATTTTGCTTTATGTATATGATATTTTCCAAATAGAATGAGAAGTTTAATTATATTATCCATTTCCAATAAACCAGAATCACAATCCATAAACAAGACCATTACATCAGTTATTGTGACAAATTTATAAAATAACTCAAAAAGAAACCAAGAAACTTGGGACCAAAATAAGTTAGTATAATTACAACTGAAAAATAAGTGTAATTTTACTACATTAAGTTTACTACATTTACAATTGTTTCATTTTCTTCTTTACAGAAACTGCATAATGGCGAAAACCCTTCTTTAAATTTACTAATGAAATCATTACATGGATAGTATCTGTTTATTATTTTAAAGTGAGTTTCTTTGACTTTATTAGGAATTACAAATTTATTTATATCGGACCACAAATTCTTAAAAACAAGGAAGTGGTAATCCTGTTTCCACTTCACCATTGCCTTAGGTGAAGAACTTTTTTCTTTGATTAAAATTCTTCTGATATATATATTATTAATTTTTTTTTCTCTAATGGAAAGGCCCCCAACAGTCAGACTAGGAAGAGAACTTAGAATTACAGGATTATACATCTTTTCGTTTTTTCTATTTTTACTACATGCCCCAAATAATTTTTGCGTCACAATGAAAGGGGAAAATAGCCCATTTATAATTTTCTAAACTCACGCATTTACTCTGTCCGTTATTTTTTGCCAAGCCAACTCTCTTTCTTTTGCTGATGCAGCAGTATTGCTTTTTTTTAGTTATAATGGGCTTATAGTCTTCATAAGCAAGCATTAAAACCTCCAACTCAGTTTCACCGAAGTATGTAGCTTGCTTTTTTTCTCCCTTGGTTTCCATGGTGACTCCTGAAATCGGCAATCCATTGAAAATGTCTTTATGTACTCGCCATGCGCGCGCATTAACTCTGGGTTACCAATAGGAGGTTGATTAAACAAACTCCTCACAGCTGTTTTGGAACCGACATACCCAGAGTAAGCACGTTTGGGGTTAACCAACCACGAGTTCAAGGTTTATCTGACGGTAAGTTAACCTTGCTTTCTCGAATACACCACTGTGTGTGTGTGTGTCAGTGAGCATGTTTGTTACACATTGCATTTGTGCTCTAGAACAAGGCCTTCATTTCTGTGTGACAATTTTCAGACTTATGCTGGATTTATTGATTTTATTGAAGAAAAAAAAAAATATTTTTCACCCTTTCTCATTCATTTTCAATGTGGGGTCCATTTGGATCCCAAAGATCATGTGTGTGAATTTTTATTATTATTTATTTATTTATTTATTTGTACATACATTCAGTTCTGTCAGGACCAGTTTCTTCAAATACGATTGGCAATTGCATACAGTTAGGATTGGTGGTATGGATCTGTTCTGGGCAAGAGCAGCAATTAGGGTAAACAGAACAGAACCAACATGAATGTATAGCAGATATCATTAATTCAAGATTTTAAAGAACAACATAATTTGATTATTTATTCTGATTCAAGGGGAATCAGAATGCCATACTGACTGGACGAGAGGAGGAGCTGGGGATGGAGGAGGGTAATTAGCTCCTGAGAAACGCGATAGCTGCTGATAATACTGAAGGAGCTAATATATGTATACAGTGATGGGCGTAGTATTCCTATAGGTAGACGTGGATCAACTGAGTGTCAGCTGATGAGAGCTTGACTAACGTGACCTGCCAACTGACGCTACGCTTAACAACCGAATCAAGCCCAGTTTGTGTGTACACAGGTTTATATTACATTGTGGGAAACAAATGTCCCCATAGCAAAACCTAAGATCACCTACATTGTGGGAAATTGATTAATAAACATACTAACATTGAAAATGTAAATATGCAGAATTCTGTAATGGGACGTTTAGGGGTAGGGTTAAGGGTTAGGGAATAGAAAATACAGTTTGTACAATATAAAGATCAGTACGTCTATTGAGAGTCCCCACAAAGATAGGGAAACCGTGTGTGTGTGTGTTCGTGCATAGATGATGTAACAAAAGTCACAAAATCTCATGCCAGTGAGATGAAGGTCTTTTTTAATGAGGGAAACATCAAATGGGGTCCGAACAGACCCCAAAGACAATATGAGGGTTAATGTATAGTCAGTGAGTACAGGAGAGTTCATATTTTAAATCTCATAATCATTATAGTTGAGCTGTTCATTATAGTTGAGCTGTTCATCTTTCAATGGATAATGACAAGTCCAGTGAGTGAAAATTACCGGTTCATAAATATTCCTTGTCATTTGGATGAGGACCACCTGGACTGGGCCCAGCTCTCAGTACAATAATGCCAGGCCTGTTCCTCAGATGAGAGCTTCAGTGTGTGAGGAGGAAGGGCTTTTTGTTTACTCTGAGATTTTTCCAGGCTGTATAAAGACCTCCATGGCTGCCACAAGTATCTGAGATGGCACCATGTAAACAGGCTTCACCAACTCTTTTGGAACCCAGAGTTTAAGTTACGTTCATGATCACTTATCCGATTTTAATTACACCTACTTGACCAGAGTCTCACTCTTTCCGCTCTTGTTTACATACTCTGTATTCTTGGACTGTGCTCGCAGGTTCATTTACATCTTTAAATCAGCTAATCACCATATTTGACCAACATTAAATTGCCATAATTATAGCGATGGTATAGTGATGTCAAATTTTGTGTTTGTTTGTTCACAAAGTTTATTTTTTATTTTTTTATCTGTTCTGTTAGTCTGTTTCTAGATTAGTTTTCACTGTGTTCAGTTCATGTTTCCTTTGTGTCTGTATTAATCGGCTGTCGGTAACAATGTCAAACTAAGGATCAAATCCCTCTGATTTTAGCCTAGGATCAGAGGAATCTTTTAGGATTTGCAAAATTTGTCTCAGACGGCCAAATCGTGGCCAAAATCGCACAGTGTGCCCCCGGGTTGAGATTCTGTTTTGTGAAGTTTGGAGTTTATTTCTAAATAAAGACTGCTGCACTTAGATCCTGTTTCATCTCTGCTGCAACCAAGCTGGCAAGTGATGGTTTAGCCTCTGGCCAGCATAGTTATCCTGTTTACTAGCAATGCTCTGGTTGACCAAAATGATCATTCTGGCGAAGATGATTGAGCAACCTTTTCCGGCTAAATGTCTGGTGGAATGACCAACACACCAACATCCAAAATACAACTTGAGACCAGTTATTGGCCCACATTTTGATCCATTTTTTTTTCTCCTGTTGTACAGTACATCAGCACATTAAGGGCCCTATTTTAACGATCTAAAACGCAAGTGTCAAGCGCAAAGCGCAAGTAACTTTGTGGGCGGATCTTGGCGCTGTTGCTATTTAACCGGCGGGATAAATGACTCTTGCGCTCGACGCAAATCTAAAAGGGGTTGGTCTGAAGTAGCTTCATTATTCATAGGTGTGGTTTGGGCGTAACGGGAAACAAACCAATAAGAGCGTCATATCACATTCCCTTTAAGAGCATGATGAACGAGGTGCGCTTGTTCCATGGCGCAATACCATTATAACGGCGCATTTACCAGGCGCGCTTCAGAATCGGTTCACAGCCGAGGAGATTGATGTTCTCGTCAGGGCCGTAAAAGAAAGAGAAGTGACATTGGGGATGGGACAAACCCACCCAAATTAGCTTCGGTTAAACATGCATATACTAATTTGGGTAAATGTGTAAGCTTTATGCCTATTTTTCCCATCGTCATGGACACAACAATGATTTCCCTCGTGTTTTAATATTTTTCCTTATAATAATGTATCATTTGCAAAAAGTAAAATGCATCTGTGTAGATGAGAGAATCATCTACAGTGTATGCGCGTTGTTCACACTCTGTATTATGGCCAAGCATGCGCGCTTAAAATAGCATCTGAATGTACGCGCAAAGCGGACTTTTCCCTCCACCGACGCACGCCGGCAAACTAGGGAATAAACTTGCGCTCCCTGGTCGGTTCAGCGCAAAAAAGGAGGCGTGTTCCGGCGCAAACAATCCCTGGTGCTATTTTGCAGTTCCAGAAAACAATTGCGCCACTGACCAGAAAAAAACCTAGTCAGTCGCGCAATTGTTTTCTGGAACTGCAAAATAGCACCAGGGATTGTTTGCGCCGGAACACGCCTCCTTTTTTGCGCTGAACCGACCAGGGAGCGCAAGTTCATTCCCTAGTTTGCCGGCGTGCGTCTGTGGAGGGAAAAGTCCGCTTTGCACGGGTGCAAAATACGAATGATACATGCGTCGGTGTACAAAGTCAATTGCGCTGGGTGCAAGATAGGGCCCATAGTGCTAAAAGGGAAACTTGTATTACAGTTAGTAAATGTAATTAGAATGTAACTTTGTCTTTTGCATTATTAGTTCCAGCAGAAATGCATAAATATGCTTCACATCTGCTGGCTTGTGATATCCAGGGCACAGCTCCCTTTGGTGATGTACTGCCATTCGAATTGCACGTGCCTCTTTTCGTGGATTACAATCACTCCATGGGGGTTCATGATTTCTGCCTTTTCAAAGTGCTGATTTTCTTTTCTTTTCTTTTCTTTTGATGATTCCCCTTCATTACCGTGTTCTCTCTATCTCTAGGGCTAGTATTGTTCAGAGGAAGATTATCTCATTCCAGGATGAGGGCTCGCTCACGAAGCGGATGTGTGAGAAAGGTGAGTTATTCATTAATCTCAGATAGATGGTTTAGCATATTACAGGCAGTTATTCTTTGAGATGTATTTTTCACAGTGTATAGTGCTTTTGCTATTTTCTCTCTTCTCCCCCAGTTTGTCTCCTCATATAGCTGTTATATAGCATGGCCAACATTCTATCTGAGCTTTGGTTATGTCGCAGGCCTGATTGTTACAGGGGATTATATTTCATTCTTCCAACTGTAAACAAATAGTACATTTCTCACAGCCACCAAATACCTTCAACCAACATGCATTCATTGCAGGATAGAGAGTGTGTGCAGTTTAGGACACACCAGCATCCCATATTGGGGACCAGTGTCCAAAACAATAACATAGCAACAGTGACATATTGCATGTTTTAATTACTTCTTTACTTCACATTCTTGACATTGTATGATCTATGTCATTGTCTATCTAGTGACACAACAAAGGTTTGTGTGATTAAGCCTGTTATGCAGTTAAGATATACATAATTATAATTTTGTAGATATATTAATTTTATAGATCAAATAAATAATACATAATTTATAAATTATTTATAATAAATAAATAATACATTTTACATGCTGTACATTTGGATATAAATAACAATCCAGCCATTCTTTCTTGTCCTTTAGAACCGCTGTATGGAGAAACCACAGACAAACCCCTGCTGGACTGCTGTGCCTGTGGAACTGCCAAATACAGAGTCACCTTCTACGGGAACTGGTCAGAGAAATTGCACCCAAAAGACTACCCAAGTAAGACACTATGTCCTCAATGACATGTGAGGTGTGCAATTTTTTCAATGTTAAAAAAATCTTTCTCCTATCCCAGTTTAAAGTCCAGAGACAACAAGTAAGCCATTTGAATTGTTATGCAATACCCAGGGACAAATTATACCTTACATCATGCAACTCACATAAGAGGTTTTCTGTTACTTTTTTTCTTTAATAAACAAGTGTAGATTTTTTTTCCTGGTGGACAATACTCACGGTACTTCCATTGAAAGAGGGAGGGAATCAAGCCATGTCAAGGGAGCAGAATATCATAGAGCATTTCTTGTGGAGAACACCCAGTGGTATTGGACATGACTCTGGAAAATTATAGTATAACATTATACATTTTATTTAAATGGTTATTTCACAGCATTCCATGTTTTATGTGTGAAATACAAAGTTATGTCATGTAACTCTAGATGGTGCAGGCTAAGTCCTTAACTCAACCTGCTTGCAATAACATCGTTATCTATAGGGCATAGCTGATTGGTTCATGCTGCATCAGTGGCCAATGTGCTCGCGTGCTCAACCTTCAAATACTTGGTTAGCATTTGCGTTAGCAGTGATGATGATACATTTAATTATATTGCGCTTTTCTCAAACCCAAAGCACTTCTCAGAGAATAAAGTAGACTTAATACAATAAACAATATAGCTGCGAGCAGCAATTATCGGGGTTCAAGCGTTTTAAGGCCTTTAAACACAAGCGTAAAATGGTATTATGTTTCCTAGCCTGTAACCACCAAAATCATTGATGGAAAAGACAGCCAATACAGGCAATTTACAGAGGAAAATATGGTTGTAGAACTTTTTAACAGTTATAGCCCCACCTATGGGTAGATCCCCATAAAAGTTTGCATACTTGTTTAGAATCATGTTGGATGTTCTCACCTATTTTCATGAAGTTGAGCCAAAAACCTAGGACTAGTTCACAAAAGTTGTTTTTTGAAATCTCTAATATTTAACGAACGATTTGATTGACGACGGCGGTCCTAGAGGCAAAGTTGCTCAGATTGAGGAGTTCTACCATGCGGTATGAATGTCTTGGGTGTGTGCCAAAAATTGCGTGGTACACAATCCTTTACGCACATGAAAAAACGCAATGATGGCCGATTTCTTTCGAATTTCACACAGGCCTCTAGGGCTGTGAGTCAAACAGGCCCAGCGAGTTTCGTACCGATCGGACTCCATTAACCTTGTCTGATAGCTGCTCAAACTTCATTGGCCGAAATACGCGAATGTCCTCAAAGTCAGTCTTGGCACCTTGGACATAGACACCACATGCCAATTTTCAAGTCAATCAGAATCAGGGTTGCGTAGTTATAGCCATTTAAATGTTTTTTAAATGTTATAGCGCCACCAAGTGGCCAGTCGCCACGATTTTTTTCACACGACCACAGAATGAGCTCTTACATGGGTGCGCCGAGTTTGGTGAGAATATATCTTTCCGTTCACGAGTTACAGCCATTTTAGCAAAAGTGGCTCCTCCCACTTCGAACATTTTGGCAGCCCTTAGAGATCGTGAATCGAAATGTAAACTTGTTTTGATAATTATCTACAATCAGACTCCAGGGTATCTTGTTCCGATCGGGCCAAATACCTAGGACTAGTTCGCAAAAATCGCCGGGCGACGATCTGAGACATGCATTTTGTCCTCCTTGAGCCAAGGATTCCAACAATATAAAATACTTGAGCCTACGCCTAACGGTTTAGGAGTTATGAGAGATTTCACACTTTTCACCGCTGTAGCATCCATGTCATGCCCATCGGTGCGGGGCTCGGTGACCTTGTAGACTGTGTGAGTACTACCAGCCCGCAAAGTTTCAAGTCTCTACGACTTATGGTTTGGTCTGCCCGATCAGTTTTAGGTGAGAATGCTGATCCATGGAAATTTTAACAATTACAATAGGGTTACTGCACTTGGTGCTTGAACCCCTAACAAAACTTCTAATAAATAGAAATAACAAAAGTACAATAGTACACTCAAAGACAGTAAGCATCTTTAAAAAGATGGGTCTTTAAAGTCTTCTTAAAACAGTCCAGTGTTGGGGAATTTCTTTTTTTTTTTTTTTTTTTACTTTCATTTTTATTAAATTTTCACATGTATATCAACAAAATAAAATAATACAGTAAATGATACATAAATCAAAATAACAATAATAATAACACTAACAATCTAACAATCTGTCTGGAGATGATGTGCTATACAGTCCACTGTTCTATTTGGCATTTGTTCAGTTTGTGTCACGTGTCAGTTTGTGTCACATGTCATATAAATGTTCCATTTTTCCCAGTTCTTTTCAAAGACATTCTGTTTGACTCTCAAGAGGTATGTCAATTTTTCCATCTCAAAGATTTCCTGGACAATTTCCAACCACTGTTCCTGTTTTGGGATATTGATATTGAGCCAATTTCTTGTGACCGCTTTCTTACTGGATGCAAGTAGTACTTTAGTCAAATACAGATCTTCTTTCCTTACAACCTCCTCAATATTCCCTAGGTACATCACTAGACAAGTGTTTGGGATTTCATATCCCAAAACATTTTTAACAACTAGGTTAACATTTTTCCAGTATGTCCCCATTTTTGTACAGTTCCAGAAGATATGTGCATGGTCTGATTCCACATTCCCGCACAATCTCCAGCATTTTTGTTGTTTAGCGAGTTGTCTCGATTTTATTTTCGGTGTTATGAAATAGCGAACCAAGTTTTTCCAGCAGAACTCTCTCCATATTAATGAACTTGTAGAAGTACATTGTGTCTCGCACATGCGATACCATGCCTCCTCTTGTATCTGAATTTGTAGTTCTGCTTCCCATTTTGCTTTTATATAGAGTGTCGTATCCCCCCTACTCTCACCCAGGGCTTGATAGAAAGCAGAGATGAGCCGAGACCCCTTCTGTTTGTACGAGTCCTCAATGACTCTAATCACCTTATTTGTCATTTCAAGTGGCTTTATCTCTTTTGTGAAATAGTCTCTTAACTGCATGTATCTATAAAAATCTTTGTTCTCTAGGTTGTATTTTGCCTTAAGATCTTGGAAGGTTGGAAATTCTCTACCTTTCGAAACTGTACATATTGCTGTCATACCTTTTTGTGCCCATTCTTTGAATACTGGATCATACATCCCCGGCTTAAAATTTGAGTCATACACAAACCAACGCAATATACACATATCCCTCTTAAGTTTGTATTTTCTTACTACAGCACTCCATATTTCTAATGTAAATGCTATTATTGGGTTCATAGCGTGCCTTAAAGCCCCTATCAAGTGTTCATCCCCGACCAGTATCTGGGTCGGATAGCCCTGTATGCCCTTTTCTATTTCTTTCCATTTAGACTCATAGTCAGGACTACACCAACAGGCCAGAGGTCTGAGCTGAGCTGCATAAAAATATTCTATAAGATTAGGTAAAGCCATTCCACCCTTACTTCTAGGTAGTCGGAGTGTCTTAAGTTTTATTCTTGTTTTTTTACCATTCCAAATGAATCTAGAGATCATCTTGTCCCAAGCTATAAATTTGTTTTGGGGGATATTAATTGGAAGAGCTTGAAATAAATATAACAGTTTAGGTAGAATATTCATTTTGACAGTTTGTATTCTAGCGCTAAAGTCTAACGGAAGGGTAGACCACCTTTCAATATCTTTTTGGATGTTTTTCTCAATTTCACTATAGTTGTTTTCGTACATATCACTAAGGGTTTTAGTAAGAGTTACTCCAAGATACTTCATTGTTTTAGAATTCCATTTCAAATTATATGCCTCTCTTATTTGTCGGGCTGGAGAATAATTTAGAGAGAGAATCTGTGTTTTTGATATATTCAGTTTATATCCTGAATAATATTCATACGTTTCCAGTTGATACATTAGGTGTGGGAAACATATATCTGGTTGTTGTAGGAAAATAATGACATCATCCGCGAAAAGGCCAATTACATGTTCTGTTCCCCCTATATTAACACCCTGCAGTTCCCCATTCTGCCGTATTGCCTGCGCTAAAGGCTCAACATATAAAGCAAAAAGAGTAGGAGACAGACAACAACCCTGTCTTGTCCCCCTCTCCAGCTGGATTGAATTGGACAGGCTTCCATTCACTCTGATCCTCGCTGTGGGCTCTTGATAAATAGTTTTGATACATTGAATTACGCCGTCATTAAAGCCAAATCTCTTTAGTGCCTCATATAAAAATAACCAACTAACACTATCAAATGCCTTTTCGGCGTCTAAACTTATAAGAATTGTACTTGTACCACTTTTTCGAGCGTTATCTAAAATATGAAGGGTTCTTCTAATATTATCGTGCGTTTGGCGTCCTTTAATGAACCCAGTTTGATCCTCGTCGATCAAATCTGGAATGAAGGTCTCTAATCTTTTACATATAATTGATGTAAATAATTTATAGTCTACATTTAGAAGTGAAATTGGCCTATAATTTTTGCAATCCTCTTTATCTTTGCCTTCTTTAGGTAAAACTGTAATGATTGCTTCCTTCCACGATGGGGGGGCCCCACCTTTGTCAAGAGTCCAGTTAAAACAAGGCAGAAGCAAAGGTGTTAGCTCCTTCTGAAAGGCCTTGTACCATTCCGGTGGAAACCCATCACTACCTGGAGATTTACTAGCCTTTAGCCTAGTTATTGCAGCTCCCAGCTCCTTAACTGTGAGTTGTGACATAATAGTGTCATTCTGTGTCTTACCAATAGACGGCAGATCAAGTGAGTCAAGAAAGCCCCTTATTGTTTTTTCATCTGCTGATAGAGGTTTAGAATAGAGCTTCTTGTAGTAATCTTCAAATATTCTTTCAATTTCATCTGGGTCATGTGATATTTGGTTGGTTTGAGGGTTCCTAATTTTATGAATCGCGTTAACTGCCTGCTGTTTCCGTAAGCGTCTAGCTAAAAGTCTTGTTGCTTTTGTGCCTGATTCGTAGTAGGTCTGCTTTACAAATCTTGCCCTCTTTTCTATATCTGTCCTGAGTATCTCAT